ATCGACCTTTGGCCAGATCTCGCCAGCAACACTCTAAGTAAGAGGAGGCATAGGCCAGCTTTCGAACCCAGCCCTCGAGGTCCGGGACCCCACCAGGAAACCAAGCAGTAGTTGTACCATCGTAAAGGGGTTAGACTGATGAAAAATATAAAGACAGGGAAAAGAAAAGTATAAACCTACTGCGTACTCACATTTCATATTCCACTCCTCGGGGAATGGCATCCAATCGGCAGGAATCATATCGAAGGTCCTGACTCGGACAAACCAGCTCATCCACCCACAGTCTTTGTCCTCATCGATACTAGCAAATAGAGATTTTAGGGATCGGCGTTGAAATTTTATCAAACCCCCACGATAAAGCCAGGGACTGTACAGTCTAATCAGATGATCGAGGGTAAAGAACATCCCCTCGATTTGGCTCGAAAAGAACCTGATTAAGTAAATGATTCACCAGAATGAGGGGTAGATCTGGCCAAGCATCACTCGGTATTATTGACAAAAGTCAAGAATAACTGGATCTATAGGACCTTGAGCCAGAATTGCAGGGCCCAACGTAAATGGGTAGGTGTATACACTTAGGTACCTCGCTTTATACGTGGTGATGTCTTCCTTGGAGGAAGGAATCACAATTTCTTTATTGTCCCATTTACAATGTTCCTTTACTTGCTTGAGCTCAGCCTTGATCACCAAACAAACATATCGAGACACGGGCTCGCATCGGTCTGGTGTCGAAACAGGCTTCTCAATTTTAAAATTGGATGTTATTTCACATGGCGAGGGAATACATTCCTCGATATGAGGGGGCACAACTAGTTTACCTTGACCGATCGAGAACATGATGAAGCGTTTTCCTTTTGGGAAACCAGTTTGGAGGTTTTATCCATCGTAATACTGAAGATCCAAGAAAGTGAAGAGTGTTGATAGTGAAGAGAAGGGAGAGATCAAGGAGATTGAAAAAAGGATAATGAGAGTTTGAAAACAATATGGGAATAAAGTTTGTAAGGTTGTGGAATCTGTTTATTTATAAAGGTCACTTAAGCGTACTGAGGAATCCAAAAGGCCGACCGTCAACCGCCTCCAATTAATGACTTTGAGAATCGCACAAAGAGAAACTTTTCAGTCGCTTCAACCGTTGGCATTGCGATATTTGCGTCAGGACCAAGGCATCAAGGATTAATTCGTCAAATATCATAAGGGCGGCCCGAGTTCGAGAAAATTCTCACTCGGGGACTATCTGTGAAGCCTTAGGGATAACTTTATTTTGAGTTCGACAACTACTCACTCGACTACTAAGCCCAAGGGCTGCCTGAGTTTGAGAAAATTCTCACTTGAGGACTATTTATGAAGCCTAAGGGCTAACTTTATTCGAGTTCGAGCAAGTACTCGCTTGATTACTAAGCCCAAGGGCTGCCCGAGTTCGAGAAAATTCTCACTCGGGGACTATCTATGAAGCCTAAGGCTAACCTTATTTCAAGTTCCAGCAAGTACTCACTAGATTACTATGCCCAAGGGCTGCCCGAGTTCGAGAAAATTCCCACTCGGGGACTATCTATAAAGTCTAAAGGCTAACTTTATTTTTGAGTTCGAGCAAGTACTCACTCAACTACTAAGCCCAAGGGCTACCCGAGTTCGAGAAAATTCCCACTCGGGGACTATCTATAAAGTCTAAAGGCTAACTTTATTTTTGAGTTCGAGCAAGTACTCACTCAACTACTAAGCCCAAGGGCTACCCGAGTTCGAGAAAATTCTCACTCGGGGACCGCATACGAAGCCTAAAGAGCTAATTTTATTTCAAATTCGAGACATTGCTCTCACTCAACTCGGACTCATGAGTCCCGGTATCCTGAACTTGCATCAAATCAATTTAAGCTTAGCTCAAGGATTAACAAAGAACCTTAAGAGGTATTATATTGGTCGATTTAAAACCTCAGGCTTTATTACGTTCCGGGTCCAGTATTTGTACTAATCGTTAGAGTTATACACTCGGATTTTTCACAAACGAAAGCAGAATGGAATTCAACATGAATCGAAGATGAAATAGAGAAATTCTTTATACTAACAAAAGATATTTACAAAGCCCATAAGGGGCCCTTACACAGAAATAAAGAAGCAAAAACAAAAAGGCAAGAATCAAATCTACTTTTGAGGGCATATCCTCAAGGGTGACATCTTCTAGAACCTCCTTATCTGGGACTCCATCTCGATCTTTAGAGAAAATTGTGGCCTGGTAAAAAACTTGGCGAGTATAGGTCTTATCAGCACAACTATTTGAAGCCACTTCTTGAGACGTTGTACCGGTGTGGGATGCAAAAGTTAGTAGATGATAGTGCCACCTCATTCCATGGAAAGCAAAAGGAATGAAGTGTCACACCAGGTTGAAGTTAAGAGAGATGAGCAGCAGTTTAAAGTTCGCATATCTTCTGATATGGGAAGAATTCGGTGCCCTTCTCTCGTTGTTTCGAGCCAACAACGACAACAACTCAGTATAATCCCACTTAGTGGGGTAAAGCTATGGAAAGGGGAGTCATGGCATAACTGGTAAAGTTGTTGCCATGTGACCTTGTGGTCACAGGTTTGAACCATAAAAATAGGTGATTAGAGGAGGATATAGAGAAGGGAAAAGGCTAAAAGTTGATGAAGAAGGAATGAGTGTAATTTTTGTTCAGCCAATTAACCCCTTATTTATAGAAACCCGACGACGGAACCAGCGGCAAATTCAATGCTTTTGGGGAAATGGACTGGCGGTACATTCAATGCTTTTGGGGAAATGGACCGACAGGACGTTTCGATCACTTCAAACGCCTACATTACGAGCATGACGTCATCGCGAGAGGCTCGAGAAAATCGAGGTTCAAATTGTTTCGTATCATTTTGATTCTAAGGAATGCAGGGACTAATCTGTATACGGTCAAAATCAGGGAGCTCCATTTCGAAGTCTTGGATTGGGCTATGAGTTCGAGTTCGGGCGACTCGAAGTAGAGGTCGGACCCGGCTGAAAGACACACACCTCGAGGAAGAAGATTGAAGGCTTGGCACGACCTACATCGAGGGTAGTATATTCTCGAGAGCAATCAAGAAAGAGCGGGAATTTCTCAAGGACATGTGGATCAGGGCATAAATTAAAGGATAAGATTTGTACGAAATGGTACAGGTCCATACTAGGTTACGTTGCTATACACATGTACCAATAGAATTCTTTACCTCAATAATGTATTATGTTGGGATTTTCTCCTCCTATATAAAGGGAACCACAATCATTTATCATCACAAATTATTCACTACATTAGAATATTCTACTTTGCTTTTCTTGTTTAACGTGCTCAACAAGTGTTCTTCAGCTTTATTGCTTTTACTTTATTATTCATACTTCATTGTTCTTAGCTGACCTAGTGACCCCCAAGAAAGTCGAGCTCGAGGTCCTCATTGTTCTTGCAACACTGGTTTGGTTCATCAATTCTTCTTATTTAAACTTAATATTTCTTGTATATCCACTAGTATTAGAATAAGTCACATATCTTTAAAACCTTAAATTACATTTAATTGTTACCCCCATTTTTCGAGGTAAACAAGGTTCCAATTTTTCTTGTTAATTTGTATCAAAGCCGAATTAAACCCAGAATGATTCACTATAATTTATTTATTTTTAGTTTAACTATTAGATATCCGTTGTATTTGCCCGGCTAATCTAGATTCGTACTGTATAGAAATTAGAATCTACAAAAGGAGAAAACATTTCTATCAGGAACTCTCCACTACTAAAGTATGAAGGGATATCATATTCATTCCACCACATCTTTTGGTAGTGTATCATATATTCTTATTTCTTCGCGATGAAAATCATGGCATGCATGACGTGAATTATCAGACGTTGTTAGGTTATCTGCAACATCAAGGACTTATATGATGGACCCAACCTCCCAACTTTGATGCGTACATGAATAATGGAAGATGTCGGTCCAGGATTAAATTTAATGGGTTCAATTATTTAAAAAATTCATATTAAACTCATTGTACTATTAAATTATAGGTTCAAATTTAATACTTGTTGAAATTTTAGTAAGTTTTTACATATAAATTCATATTCAATGTCGGAAGTTATGGGTTCAATCGAAAGGCTACATCCGCCCCCGATAATGGACATTTGTTAGGCCGATACACACCTACCGGATATATACGCATTTGTGTAAATTTTTATTACAGATGGATACATATATAAAAAAAATAAAAAAAAATTGGTAAGAGGGGAAACGCGCAACCGCTATAATCTCTGCCACAGCCTCTGCCCTTCGGGTGAGCACTCTGTGGTGAGCACTTTGTGCGCACCGGGTAAACCTCCCCTATGTAGCAAACCACACAGGGGATGTAAATCGCACAGACAGGCTCTACCCAGAAGGCATTGAGGGGGTATTCGATCCCNATATATATATATATTGTTACTAACTTTTAGTGTAATAAATTTTGAAGAATCCACATAAAATATTCACGTCAGAATGAGCCCGAGTAAGTTAATAGTGTTAAGTTGCTTTTTGAAACACTTTTTTATTATCCAATTTGTTAAAAGAATTAAACAATCATTTGAAAAATTGTAACTAAAATGTAATAAAGAATTGTTATTCCAGTTTTATAGCTTTTCTGAGCTTTTATAAACTTTTCAATTTAATAAAAGTGCTAAGAAGGCATAAGCCGTAAGATATTAAAAAGGCTTAATTAAAATGAAGTGAAATGTATAATCTCAGAAAATATAGAAAAACAAATCAGTTTCTCTATTTTCCTTTATTGTCACTAGTTTAGAAATGTATGTAGACATGCAAACATTTTTTTGAAAGTCAATAAATTCTGGATCTTATTTTTTAAATATAAGTGAGTCAAGCAAAGTTGTGATTTATTCATGGCTCTCCATTATCTCAAGAACTTAGTGGAACAACATTAACTAAAACATCAAGTCACTTTCTTAGTTTAGGCTATATAAACTCCTAGTCACACCATTCTCAAATACACAAAAAACAAAAACAACAATCCAAATAGCCTTAGAACCCAAATCTTTTCAATGGAGAGCCAAATGAAGAAGCAATGGCATCAATTTGTTTGTGCTTTAGCATTTTTCTTGATTGCATCTTGCACAATGGCATATACAACTGATACTTATAAATCACCAGTTCCAACATATAATAAAGTACCAAGCCCAGCACCAGTTTCAAAAGACAATTACGAAATGCCACAAGTGTCCAAGAACGATTACAAGGTACCCTCAGTGCCTAAACAGGAATACAAGGCACCATCTTTGTCGAAGGATAACTACTACGCGAAGCCATCAGTTCCAAAAGATAACTACAAGAAGGTGTCATATGTTCCAAAAGATAACTTTTACAAGGCACCCACAGTGCCTAAGCCAGAATATAAGGTGTCATCTTTGCCAAAGAATGACTACTTCACGAAACCATATGTTCCAGAATATAACTACAAGAAGGTGTCATCTGTTCCAAAAGATATTTACTACAAGGCACCCACAGTGTCAAAGCCGGAATACAAGGCACCATCTTTGCCAAAGAATGACTACTACAAGAAACCGTCAGTTCCAAAAGATAACTATTACAAGGCACCCTCAACACCTAAACAGGAATACAAAGTGCCATCTGTACCAAAGAATGATTACTACAATAAGCCATCAGTTCCAAAGAATAACTACAAGGTGTCATCTGTTCCAAAGGGTAACTACTATAAGGTACCTTCAGTGCCTAAATCGGAATATCAGATGCCATATGTACCAAAGAATGACTACTACAAAAAACCATCAGTCCCAAAGAATGACTATTATAAAAAGCCATCAGTTCCAAAAACTAACTATTACAAGGTACCCTCAATGCCTAAACAAGAATACAAAGTGCCAACTTTTCCAAAGAATGACTACTACAAGAAACCTTCAGCTTCTCCTCCACCGCCATACTACTATAATTCACCCTCTCCTCCTTCACCATCACCACTACCTCCTTCTCCATCACCACCTCCTCCATCTTATTAAATTTCCATCTTTCATGTTCAGCATGTTTGGAGAAGGCCATTTTTCCAACACAACATAATCTCAAGGGTCTTGAGTTGAAGGCATGATATCAAAAAAAATTAGTTCTTAATTTGTTGTTTCTTTCTTGTCATTATTCGAGTGGAAATTGTTTTGTCATTTAAATTGTATTTTGAATGTTAATTTCTAGAGAATTGTTTCAGTTGAATACAAGTTCCTTTTATTGATCTAGTTTATGTATTTTCACCTATTCTTCCACCAATCCCCAATTTCTTCACATAAATTTATTGATCAAGTTCGGTAGCATACAGTGGTGAATTCAGAATTTTAAAGTTATGGGTGTTAATCGATAAAAATTCCAAAAGAAGGGAAAAAAAGGATTTAATTATGGGTGCTCACTCAATATTTTATCTACATATTTTTATAATTGCCGATGTAAATTTACTACGTATGATTAAAGGTAATGGGTGCTTAAGCACCCACAAATGCCAATGTAAATCCGCCACTGGTAGCATATAGTCAATTTTCACTTTATATATTCACCCCGAAATAATATTTCATAAGTTATTAGAATGAAATAATATTTCATACGAATGAAATTATATTTCAGTTTTCCTCAAAATATCACTCTTTCCACTACAATTAGGGCCAACGTCGGTGGAAAAGCTCTGTCGAATAGCAAAAATTTTTATTAAAAAGAATGAATTTAATTTTTTAGATACTCAATAACCACTTAATTTTTGAAATACTCGATTACTTGAATATACTTTAATTCTTACCGGGTATTCATTAGATTGAAAAAAAAATTGGTTAAAATGTCGGATGTGTTGATGTGGGAGTTTAAATCAGTAAAAATTATTTTAGTGCATCGAAAGGGCCAGCACTTTGCATGCATAGTTCCAATTTTTCTTGTTAATTTATATCAAAACTGAATTAAAATCCAAAATGATACACTATAATTTATTTATTTTTGGTTTAACCATATCCGATACTTATTTGCCCGACTAATTTAGATTTATATCACATAGAGCCCACAAAAGGTAAATTATTTTCTATCATGAATTCTCCGCTACCAAAGCTTAAATCCGAAATCTTTAATAAAAACTAAATGAATCATATTCATTCCACCATATCTTTTGGTGATGCATCATATATTCTTATTTCTTCGCGAGGAAAATCGTGGCCTGCATGATGTGAATTATAAGTTGTTGTTAGGTTATCTGTAGCATCAAGGACATATATGATGGACTCCCAACCTTCCAACTTTGATTCTTACATTATCAAATAATGGACATTTGTTAGGCCGATATATACATATTGGATATGCATTTGTGTTACTTTCTAGTATAGATCGAAAAGAGCAGTCCGACGTACAAAGTATTTTATATTTAAGCTCAGAAATATAGAAAAAAAAAAAACAGTTTCTCTATTTTCCTTTACTGCCACTAGTTTAGAAATGTATGTAGACATGGAAACATTGTCTTGAGAGTCAATAAATTTTAGATCTTTATTATTTAAAAAATATAAGTGAGTCAAGCAAAGTTGTTATTTATTCATGGCTCTCCATTATCTCAAGACCTTAGTGGAACAACATTAACAAAAAAAATGAAGAAATCTCATATGATTGGATTATTATAAGCTTCTAAATTATCAACTCACCTTCTTAGTTTAGGCTATATAAACTCCTAGTTACACCATTCTCAAATACACAAAAAAGAAAAACAACAATCCAATCAGCCTTAGAACCCAAATCTTCTCAATGGGGAGCCAAATGAAGAAGCAATGGCATCACTTTGTTTGTGCTTTGGCATTTTTCTTGATTGTCACTTGCACTATGGCATATTCAGCCGATTCTTATAAATCACAAGTTCCATCATATAATCAAGTACCAAGCCAAGTACCAATGTCAAAAGACAATTACGAAGCGCCACAAGTGTCCAAGAACGATTACAAGGTACCCTCAGTGCTTAAACAAGAATACAAGGCACCATCTTTATCAAAGTATAACTACTACACGAAGCCATCAGTTCCAAAAGGTAACTACAAAAATATGCCATCTGTTCCAAAAGATAATTATTACAAGGCACCCACAGTGCCTAAGCCGGGATACAAAGCACTATCTTTGCCAAAGAATGACTACTATAAGAAGCCATCTGTTTCAGAATATAACTACAAGAAGATGCCGTCTTTTCCAAAATATAATTACTACAAGGTACCTTCAGTACCTAAACAGAAATACAAGGTGCCATCTTTGCCAAAGAATGACTACTACAAGAAATCATTGGTTCCAAAAGATAACTATTACAAGGCACCCTCAACGCCTGAGCAGGAATACAAGATGCCATCTGCACCAAAGAATGACTACTATAAAAAGCCATCAGTTCCAAAGAATAACTACAAGGTGCCATCTGTTCCAAAGGATAACTACTATAAGGTATCCGCATTGCCTAAACCGGAATACCAGGTGCCATCTGTACCAAAGAATGACTACTATAAAAAGCCATCAGTTCCAAAGAATAACTACAAGGTGCCATCTGTTCCAAAGGATAACTACTATAAGGTATCCGCATTGCCTAAACCGGAATACCAGGTGCCATCTGTACCAAAGAATGACTACTACAAGAAACCATCTGTTCCAAGAAATGACTATTACAAAGTACCCTCAATGCCTAAACAAGAATATAAAGTGCCATCTTTACCAAAGACTAACTACTACAAGAAACCATCTGTTCCAAGAAATGACTATTACAAAGTACCCTCAATGCCTAAACAAGAATATAAAGTGCCATCTTTACCAAAGACTAACTACTACAAGAAACCTTCAACTTCTCCTCCACCGCCATACTATTATAATTCGCCCCCTCCTCCTTCACCATCACCACCACCTCCTTACTCTTACCAATCATCTTCAACTCCTTCTCCATCACCACCTCCTCCATATTATTAAATTCCCATTTTTCATGTTCAAAATGTATCGAGAAGGCCATTTTCCAAGACAACATAATCTTAAGGGTCTTGAGTTGAAGGCATGATATCAAAAATTTTAATTCTTAATTTGTTGTTTCTTTCTTTTCCTTATTCAGTTGGCAAGTTTTTTGTCATTTAAATTGTATTTTGAATGTTTCCAGAGAATTGTTTCAGTTTAATACAAGTTCCTTTTATTGATCTTGTTTATATATTTTCACCTATTCTTCTAGCAATCCCCAATTTCTTCACATAAATTTATTGATCAAGTTCGGTAGCATATAGTCAATTCTCACTTTATTCACCCCGAAATAATATTTCATAAGTTATAAGAATGAAATAATATTTCATAGCAAATCTACTCAACATTCTCTCTTTCAAATTCTCAATACTTCTCCATCTACTCAACATTCTCTCACAAAGATTGTATGTAATCCTTTTCAGATAATGTTAACCGATTATGCTTATCAATTATTGTCCTGGTTTATTTGACTAATCTAATTGAATTTGAAAATATTATATTTTATGCTCCAGTACCAAAGAATGACCACCGCTCAACTATACAGAATGAATACAACATACAAACACATGAAAGAACTTCAATAGTGTTAGAGCACTATTAAAAGCTATGTCTAATTAAATAGCTTATATATTGTTAACCATCTCCTTTAATCCGATATTTTTTGCTAAGACTTAACATAATTCTCTCATAAAACTATTGTACTTTGCCTTGATTTTCTTATTGTGTCTCAGCTGAATAAACAAAACATGAATGGAAATTATTCATCTATGACTTACATAACTAAATAACCTTACGTGAAGTCAAGAGTCTATTTCATCCAAAATCACATACAGATTTAGACCAAGAAGCATTTAGTTTTTCCCTGCTATAGCCAAATTAAATACTCTGATTTGATAATTCTGCTGGCTTGAGTTTCTTAATGTTTAAGTAAAGAGTATTTCATCCAAAAACAAATATAGATTTAGAGCAGGATCCATTTCGTTTTTCCCTGTTATAACCAAAACTTTGAGTTGGTTATTGTGTTGGCGTGAGTGCTATGTATTTTACTACTTATGTGTTGAAGATATATTTAAGTTTGATTTCTATTGCATTCCCTGTTAATAGGTGAGGTTACTTTCGCAACGACATCTGCAAGCAAAATATATGTAAATCTTGAAACAGATTACATATCACTGTTGATTCAAAAGTTTGCATCCATATCTGTTCGGGTACAACCTATCGGAAGCTTTAATGTCAATAGCATTCTCATTGAAGAAGAGATGTTTCTAGTTTCTCAACAGGATGACCATTAATGAGTTGTTGGAGTCTGACTGGAGTGCCGAAATACAAGTGATTTTCATATTCCTACTTCTTTCTAAAAATACCCGATTCCTCAATATGCTTATATTATACAATTGGAATAATATAAAGTAGCCTCTGTCATCAACATGCCTGCTTAATTTGAGTACATTTTTTATGTTAGGCTGCTAGAAAGTGGTGTACATGCTACTTTATCACTTGGACATTATCAATTGAAAGTTGAATTTGTGTTTTGACATGCATTTTTTTTTTAAGAAAAGTTGAAGTTTTGTGAGTGGAAAAACATTTCACCCAAAAATTACTCTAAACCAGTTTTTGGGAACTTGAAATTTTTTGAATTTTTTTTTTCAAAACATAATCATATTTCATAAACAAACAATATTTTCAATTTTTTTTTTTGAAAATGAATTCAAAATCTACAGTCAAACGGGAACAAACACAAGGATAAAAAGTTGAAAGCTTACTCGGCAAAAGAGTTACATTCGATTAACTCAAAGAGTTGGCATATGAAATTTTATAATTTAATCGTAGAGCTTGACTTTCTTGAAGATCAATTTAATATTTAATAGGTGTTAGGTTCTATATTACGTTTTTTAATCATTTTTGGCATGTAGGAATCATATTAGACCGTCAAAGTTTTTTTGACTTAAGGCTTATATAAGCTATCTCTCCCAGACACCACTTATGAAATTATAATAAGTTTTTTGTTGTTGTTGTTGCTATATAAGCTATACAATGTTTCATAAAAAATTATTATTCAAGCTTAAGTGATATGCTTAAAATTTATTAGCTCAAAGTCATTTTTCAAATTCAAATTAATTTAATTGGCAAGGTAGTTTCACTGCAACTCAAAAAAGAGTAGTTTTTGTTTTATAAATTTTTAAAAGCTTCGAAATACAATTAAAGCAAACTTACATTTCACAATTGTAACTAAAATCGTTTAAGAAAAAATGAAGACTTTTGGAATTTCTGGTCTTAAACAAGTCAAAAAGGGGTCCAGAGTATTTGTGTGGTTATAAAAACTTCTCATTAAGGGTAGAATTGTAAGTTTAAGCTAAATTATTTTCAAAGTTAGAAAGGGATTATCCTTTTTGAAACAGACCAAAAAGGAAATAGGTTCACATAAACTGGAACGGAGGGAGTACATCTTTTGTTTTAAGTTGGCTAAATACGAAGCCAATATCAGTTCATGTATTAGATGAGATTGTTTAGAAGAAGACAATGCTATTGTGTTTTAATATAGTCGGATTAGTGGTCTCTTGAATTTGTTATTGACGGATATAAAAATGGGATCTCGTGAATTTGTCATTCATGGATAATAATAAATAATCAATCAAGTGAAAAAATAATAATTAATACTAACAAAATTGCAACAGTAGGATTCCTCTATCTCTTGCTCGCTTCGATCGGACTCTGACAACTTAGGGAAGAATGATGGGTCGCTAACGAGGCCCCTAAATGACCACTGAGAAGGCCTACCTATTTTTTTCCCAATCTGTCACTTGTTCGTCCCTCTCTCATGAAAATGGTCTCTCCTCTCTGTTGCTTCCAAAGTCAAAAAGTTGGTAGAAGCTATTAAAGCCAATAGCCACGATAAATTGAAGGAAAAAACATACTCAAAAGCGTTTGGTGAGAATATTGCATGTAAAACTGCAATGTCTCAAAGGAATTTGCATACAAGTTGAAAGGGCAAAGTATATATTAGGCCAAAATTATGTTACTCTATAATCTATATTTAAGTCATATAGCAAGACAAAAGTATTTGAATAAGAAAAGAAAAAAAGAAAACTAAATATTAACAACACTTATGAGTTTATGATAATGTTTGATTATATTATTGCGAGCTTTCATTCTAAAATTGTGTATAGAGAATGATCAATTAATGGGAATTTTATATAGGGAACATTTGAGAATACGAATAATTATTATTTGAAGTTTGAGTCAATTAAAATTTTAAGAAAATTTAGCTTTTGTCTAAAAAAAAAAGAAGCAAATTCTTTTAAACTTTGCTTGAATGTAATGAGCATTTAAGCCATTACAAAGAATTAATTATATAGCCACCCATCCAACTATATATTTAGTGAATAAATATATAATATGTATAATTCATATATACATAGAGGGAAAAAAGAAAATTTTACACTTGACTATGGTTGTTGGGCCCGGGCATTGCCCGGGCTAATCGTAACTAGTTTATATATATAATACATATTGAACACCTTTGTAACAATAAAGAGGCATAGCCCAGTGGCAAAGGGTGGTCAAAACGCCTTAGAGGCACAAGTTCTAACTCCTCGCTCCACAATTTTTGTTGCAGGACAATTCTTTTAAAAGACAACTAGATAAGCAGACTAAGCGACATCGTTTTCTTTGTTTGACTTGCTTTATTATATAAAAATCAGGAATAAACAAATCTGTATAAAACAAAAATTAGGAATAAGCAAATCTAATCCCTAAAAGTCAAAATCGATCCATCCCTAATTCCTCATTCCTCACCGCTCACACAAACAAAAAGGAAAAAACCTAGGTCAATTTTGGTCTCCATCTTCTTCGATTTCTCTACCAACGAACTTTTGCGTTTGAAAGTTCTTGCTGCTCTCCGTCTTCGTCGGTGTTACTCCGACTGTCCGAATACTCCATTCCGCCATTGAACTGGTTCGAACTTCGAATCTATTGTCTTTCTTTTCCTTTTTTGCTTCAAAGTTTCAGTTGTGTTGAATTTCTCTGATTTTTTATATGATAAATATTTTTGGGACAGTACATTGTGAGTAATTAGTTAGCATTTATGTATGTTGCTTGTTGTAAGTTCAAACACAAACTGTTGATGTTCCTTTTGTTTATTTAATTGTTGAGGAGTAATATGATTTAACTACTTTATACATTCAGGGAATTGAAGTTGCAATGAACTTGTTGAAATTTTACAACAAAGTACCAAAAATAACTTCGGCTTCTCAAAATCAATCTATCATAGAAGAAAATACCGATCAATCATATTTTCCCTCGCATTCTTCTCTAAGACAAGAAATTGATACAATTTCTCCACAGTCCGATCCAGCTGAAAGAACTCCAATATTGGAGTATCATCCAAACCATCGCGATGAAATAAGGAGGGCATACATTCAAGGTGATCCTTACCAACCCCGTTATCATGACTTCTCTCAATCTGACTTTTTTGGATTTAAGCGTCATTTTAATCCTGTATGGTTGATGAATTTAATTGGTTGGAGTATAGTGTAAGTACCGATGCTGCATATTGTTTATCTTGTAATTTATTTAAGGGCGAAAGTATTCATCAAGGTGGTGGTAATATTTTTTCGAGTAAAGGGTTTAGGAATTGTATCCTGATGACTTTGATGAATTTAGGATGAGTGCTCTTGAGAATTAGCTTGCGAGTTATATTATTGATGTTCATGATTTTGATGAAAGTTTCTCCGATCTAAATGGGCTTTCTGATCTTTCAGAAAGATTAGTTAAGACAAAAAAGCATTCAGTTTATCCTCTTGTATTCCTCTAAGTAAAACTTGCGTGCTTCTGCCTGTTGCCACTGTAACCGTTGAAAGAGCTTTCTCAGCAATGAAGTTTATCAAAAATGACTTGCGGAATCGAATGGATGATGACTTTTTAGGCGGTTGCATAGTGCCTTATGTAGAAAGAGAAGTATTTAGTACTGTTTCTAGTGAGTCTATTATAAAAACATTTCAAGAGATGAAGCCTCGTCGAGTACAATTGTAATAAGTAGAATCTCTTTTCGACACTTCTTTATATTAGTTTGGATTTATCCAATTGTTTGTACTATTACCTGTATTTTTATAATTTAGCTCGATATCACGTTGTTTGATTTAAATTTTTCGGTGCACCTACTTGTTGAGAATTTTTTTTTTCTTGTTCAAGTTTGAACACCCTTGAAAAATTTTCTAGCTTCGCCACTGATTATATGATGATTTGTGCCGGTAAGAATCTTCACTAATTCAGTAAATTTTTTCTGGTTTTCATTTCTCTAACCCCTTTTTTTTCTTACTCATCTTCTTTTTGTTTGATCATGGTTATAAGGAGATTAAGCATCCAGATATACAATTGTACATAATTTTTTACTTTTCAAGTCTTCATATTTTTGATTCTCAGCTTTTTTTAATTGTTTCTTCTCCTTTCACGTTCTTCTTTTGTGCTTTCCTCTATTTCTTCTTTGTTTCTTTTTATAGAGTAACATAATAGAGAAAACTGTTGCAAATTTATAATCATAAAGCATTTTGAAAGGTAAATTGAATTTTATAAATATACAATTAGGCCTATAAAAAATAGTAAAGCTTCAGTTTAATAACATGCCAGATGATTATTGAGCAGTTGCAGTAGATGTTTCTTTATTTTTTTTTTCATATTTAAGTTTTCTAAGGTTTCTTTATCGTAATAAAACATCTCTATCATGTTCTTCCGATATTTATGGGTGTGCATGAAACAAAGCTGGTTGGATATTAAAATAATCATAAAATTAGAAGTATAATTTTTTTCATATTTAATTTTTCTTAATAATCGCGCGAAGTGCGGACAAATATACTAGTTTTATAAATAAAAGGAATGAACTTAAATTTTTAGATACTCAATAACCACTTAATTTTTGAAAACTACGCTTTAGTGTCAAATAAGTTAGGGTCAAGCGTCAGCTATATGAATCACCACTTATCCATTTAAATTTAATTCATGTAATTATAATACTGTTAGAGGAGTATGATTTATCAAAATATCTCCATCGGCAGGCTAAGGAATAAGAGATAAGAATGCCGGGATAGGATGCAAGATTATTTTATCACGCACATACCCGGGGGCGGATTTAGGGGGCGCAAGGGGTTCACCCGAACCCTCTTCGCCGAAAAAATATGTATATATAAGGCAAAATTTATTTTTTACCTCTATATATTAAGTTTTGAACCCCCTTAATCCAATCCAAAAGTGTAGTTTAGTGGTCAAGGGGGTTCAAAATCTACATAAGATCATGAGTTCAATTCCTACTAGATATAATTATTTTTTTGAACCCCCTTCGTGGAGATCTTGTCTCCGCCACTGCACATACCCTTAACCAAATGACTGTTGGTCTGCTAAGGAGATTTAATTTTCACATAATATAATATCCAGCATTATTAGAATAATGTTTGGTTATTACTTTTTGTATCATCATAAATAATATATGCATAAGTTATGTGGTGATTCATGCATTATTTTATGTGAAAAAGAATGTGAGATAAAATGCAAGTATTAGTATTTAGTAATACATTGATTAAAACAAAACAAACTCTTGTAGTAGCAAACTTTTATATTCTTTAAAAAAGTAAACACATTTTAGTTGTAAATTATATAGTAATTTTAATAAATCAAACAAGCATCCAAGGAGAAATAATACCTTTTTAATCTCTGTATTACAATTATGCATTATTAATTCATCCGCATGCAGGGTTTGATTTAGTAGTAATGTCATAACATATGAAAGGTGGATAAATTTTAAATAGAGAAGGACAAAGTGACGGATCTGTTGCGAAAGCCAAATGTATATAGTGTGAATGAGTCACAATTACTATACCAAAAATTATGGCAGCCACCAAATAATAAATAAGACAATAAAGCAACAATAAAAGGAACACCAGAATTTACGAGGTTCGGCCAATTTTGCCTACTTCCTCGGACACAACCAATATTTTATTCCACTCCAAAAATACAAGTGAAATAATACTAAAGAGAGAAAATACAAATGCCTTAAGAAGATAAGAAGGCAAATGAGAGATATGTTTAGATCCTAAACATTAGGCCTCCTTTTATAAGGGAAAAATCCCAACAATTTTTCTCCCCAACCAATGCGGGAGTTTGACAACTTCAACACGAACCACATCCATTATTCAATTGCATTTTGAACTAACCTTGGTAAATATATTAATTATTAAACAATATTCATGCATTATTAATTCATTCTCACTGTAAGAGCAGTTGATTCTAAAAGTATGAAGTCGGCCTTTTGATAAACATTTCAATCAAATGAGCCGAAGTAATAAGAGTAGCATTGGCCAAATATGACCAAATTTAATCAGAAATTAAAGCATTTTGCGCTTGGAATATAAAAATTCATGGAAACATAAAATAACAGCAGAAATAGTGACATGATAGATGCAGTAATATAAATTAGTGGTGTTGATGAAACTGCTACCTATATGAGTAAATGAAACTCATTTAATTACTTGAACAATTCTTTTTTAGATTGAAAAAAAAATTGGTTAAAATGTCGGTGGGATTTAAATCAGTAAAATTATTTTAGTGAACCGGAAGGGTTGGATTACCGATGTGATTAGTTTTTTTTGTTACTATGGTCAGAATCTTGTGATTTTTATGTGACAAATCAAAATTGTGTCACTTTAATGGGAAGAAAAGATAATCTACGCGTTTTGTAAAATTAAAAGTGCTTATAAGTTAAGTGTGATGGAATATATACCACAGCGGAAGCAATAACAGAATCTTATTCACATGTAATCTAAACAACTAGTACGCATGGAGATTTTAGGATTACCTCTTGAAGCGTAAACACAACAAATCTAGGTCGTTCTCCAGTTCCTCAGTTGAAAACACACTAGCAGCTTTCCACAGTCTTCTACTGTGTTACCCAAACAATAACCGAAAAAAAGAGAATTTTGGGTGGGCAAAATTCTAGTAGAAACCGCAGTCAGAATCATCAAAAAAACGTC